CCCCAAAACCCCAAAACCCCAAAACCCCAAAACCCCGAAATACAGAATTGATTTTTGAAAAGCAAAGAGAATTTAAAGTTTATAAATTAATAAATTTAAATCAAATCATGGAGCAAGGTAAAACATTTACTGTTTAATTGATATATTGCAGATAAAAAGATGAGACCTATCAATGAGGACGAAGAAATGGATGAGGAAGAAGAGCAAAAGGATCAAATCAAAGAGTAATTGAAAATATTTACATTTACATTAATAGTTGTATGGAGCAAATGGGAAAAGTACCAATGCCTAACAAAATGTTTACCAGACCTGTAGATGTTAATCAGTCTCACAAATTCGGACATAAACCACCAGGTAAGCTCGGTATATGCTATGATCCTATTCCATGGACTGAGTTCTTTGATCACAAGGAAAGAATGGATGACAATGTGCCAATATATATCGCAGGTCATTAAGGACATGTATTTTTATGCATGCATGGTGCTGGACACTCAGCTCTATCATTTGCTGCCTTAGCAAAAAATCTTAAGCAACATTCGACTGTTGTAGCATTTGATTTTAGAGGCCATGGTGATAATACTCTTGAAAATGAGACAGATCTAAGTGAAGAGACCCTAGTCAATGATGCTATTGAAGTTATTAAGTATGTGTCAAACAAATTCAGTGATGCATCAATCTTGTTAGTTGGTCATTCAATGGGAGGTTCAATTGCAACTAAGGCTGCATCAAAGGTTATGAAAGAGCATGCAGGTGAGCACTGGCATAAATAAATTCAAGGTTTATTTGTGATAGATGTAGTAGAGGGAAGCGCAATGGATGCTCTACCATTTATGGAAAATATTGTTCTCTCTAGACCACAGGAGTTCAAAACTATTCAATCAGTTGTCTAATACGGAGTTAAAAGCGGTACTGTTAGAGATATTGAAAGCGCTAGGGCATCAATGCCAGACTAGGTCATTCCATAGGTTGAAGGTGCTACTGGACTTACTAAATATGTCTGGAAAACAGATTTACTTGCCTCTAAAGCTTATTGGGAAAGCTGGTTCAAGGGTCTAACTCAATGCTTCCTAGATGTAAGAGTACCAAAGTAGCTTTTGCTGGCAGGAAGTGATAGAATGGACAAAGATCTTACTATCGCATAAATGCAAGGCAAATTCAAACTAGTGGTTCTAGATAATGTTGGTCATGTCATTCATGAAGATCAACCAAGAAGAGTCGCTGAGGTCTTCCATCAATTCTTAGACTAATTCAAGATTCCCTCCAAGTTTAATGAATAGTTAGTTGTCACTAGTGTCAGTGGAAAGAAAGTTGTGATCAGTCATTGATTTATTAAAAATATATGAATTTCTCAGTCCAATTAATGATTCATCATCAGTCGGGGTTTTGGGGTTTTGGGGTTTTGGGGAGATCGGAAGAGCACACGTCTG